CCACTTGGCGTCAACCACGTGGACACCTTCTATTATCGAAGGGAAAAAGCAACGAACCACGCGGACAATTTCTTGATGGCTGAATACCGTTGGCCACTTGGCGTCAACCACGTGGACACCTTCTATTATCGAAGGGAAAAAGCAACGAACCACGCGGACAATTTCTTGATTGCTGAATAACCGGACGGGAAATTCCAAATGGTGAGCGGGAAACCAAAATCGAGTGGCTTGAACACCGCTTGACTCGAGCTCGATTCAACTCGTTTACACTCCTACTCTAATATAAGAGAGCCACCTTATATGTACAACTTTTTTAGATTTAATCCTAGCCTCTACTTTCTAACAAACTAATTCAACTCTACCCTTGATTTGTCAGAAATTACTGCCATGCTCTCGGACAGTCTTCATGATATTATAGCTTGAAGCCTAACAGCACCTCTGATCCCCTATGGACAACTCTGCTTCATCCTCTGCTACTCACCTTCTTCCCCACGGAAACCAGCTCACTCAATGGTCAGAGCATCCCTCCCTCTCTGAAATTTTTTATGTCGAACATAAAAAATACTGTCCACACCCAACTTCAAACCGAAAACTACCCATTTGCAGGCTTCAAATCATCAAACTCTTCACCGCCAACAAGTTTGACGGCTATCTCACAGGCTCTATTTCATGTCCCCCAAAGCATCTTCTCTCCCCCTCTGGCGATCTAATGCCAAACTCTACCTTCCACATATGGCATCTTCTTGACCAAAATCTCTCAACTGCCCTTTATTCAACCATTTCCTCCTCTATTCTTCCTCGCATTCTTACCCTCTCTACTTGTCATGAAATCGGGATCACCCTCGAAAAATGACTACAACCAACTAATCGCTCTTGAGTTATCAAGAGCGAACTTCATAATGCCTCCATGAAAGACCTCACAATGACCCAATACCTCGCCCACATCAAATCTCTTGTTGATAATATCGCTTTTGGAGGCTCCACCGTTGACCCGGAAGACATTCTCCTCTACACCCTCATTGGCCTACCTCCATCTTACCAAGCCTTCAAAATTGCTATTCGCACATCTCTTTCCCCCATTAGCCTCGAAGACCTTTACTCATTGTTATGCAGTGAAGAGATCAACTTATATGTCAAACAAGACAAATACTCCTCGCCAATTACATCTACAACCGCACTAGCAGCTTCAACCCGTGGAGGTCGCCCACCATTTTCCCCATGCCCGGTTTGCCAAATCTGCTCCAAAACAGGACAAACCGCTGACAAATGCTGGCATCACTACAACTTGTAGTATCAACCCTTAACATTTCCCCATCCACAACCCACTGCTTTCATTTCCAACCCACCACTCAATCCTGCAACCTCTTCTAATACCTAGATTCTAGACTCAAGGGTGTCTTCCCACCTTACAAACAATCCAAATCTTCTAAAACAGTCAATCCCTTAGACAGAAGTGACTCAGTTATCATTGGTGATGACACCACCTTACCAATTACCCACATTGTATAAGGCCTCCTTCTAACTCCCTATTCCTCTCGTTAGCTTCTCTTAAATAATGTTCTCTATGCTCTTCATTTATCACATAATCTTCGATCAATTTACAGACTAACCAAAGGCAACAATTTCTCTATTATCTTTGACTCGCATGGCTTTGTTCTCAAGGATCTTTAAACGGCGTAGCGTTAATGGTCTCTAACCTCTTCCGTCCACCTCTCCGTCCCCAATTGCTCTCACGTCGCAAGCTACCACCTCAATGCTCTGACACCCTCGTCTCGATCACCCTCACCAAGCCAAGCTATCATTCCTAGCCAAGCAACTTCAACTCCTGATCTCCCCTACTTTACTTAGTTATGTTTCTTGTAATGTGACCAAGAGCCATAAGTTTCCTTTTCCTAAATGTAGTTCTTCTCAATATAAACAAATAGAACTTATCCATACAAATGTCTGGGGACCTTCCTCAATTGCATCTTTCTATGATTTTAAATACTATGTTATTTTCGTTTATGATCAAACTCGCTTCTTTTGGATATTTCCAATGCATTGTAAATCTGAATTGTTTAATATTTTAATCAATTTTACAAATTTCTCAAAAACTTCTTTCATGCAAAAATAAAAAATCCTTCACTCTAATGTTGGAGGCAAGTACACCTCCATCACCTTTAAACATACCTATCATACAACGACATTATTCACCAATTCAGCTGTCCCTACATTTCAGAACAAAACAGCGTAGTCGAACGTAAACACTATCACCTACTAGAAACCACTCGAGCCCTTCTCCATGCTGCTAGCCTCCCACTCCCATTCTGGCTTGAATCCCTCACCACCGTGTTATTCCTCATCAATCATTTACCATCCAAGTCCACTAAAAATGTCTCACCTTTCCAACTTATATACAAAATCCCACCCGTCTATCACCACTTAAAAACTTTCGGCTGCTTAAGTTTTCCCTAGCTCATGCCTACCAACCCTCAAAAACTTGCTCCTCGCTCCACTGAATGTCTAGTTCTTGGATACTCCCCCATCCACATAGGCTATTGGTGCTACAACCTTTCCACTCACAAAATCATTACCTCTCGGCATGTCACATTTTATGAAACTACTTTCCCACTCAAAATATCCTCTCTTCCCACCCCTTTTACATCCATCTCACATCAAAACCCTCCCATATCCACACCTATACCCCCCACCACAACAAACACATCTCCCTTGCCAAATTTAACCTCACCCACTATACCCACCGAACCCATCAACACCCCACCCACAACCTTTCTCCACCTTATATGTACAACTTTTAAGGGTCGCCTTATAGATGGTTTGGTCACATAAAATGGCAGTCTTCCGATGACCCGATTAGGGGGAGTAGACATATTGGATTTGACATATGTTAAGAAAGGTAGAGGTAGACTTAAAAAGACTTGGTTAGAAAATATTAGAATGACCAAATCTTTATTAGATTTAGATGAGAACCGGACTCTTAATAGGACACTATGGAGAAAAAATATTCTTGCAGTCAACCCTGTATAATGGGATAAATGCTTGTTGTTGTTGATTACATAAAAAAAAAATTGAGAAATTTGGGGTTGAGTCTAGTTTTAATGTTGCATGAGGTGGCTATCTGTTAGGTAAATACTATCTACATACACATCAATAGGCTTCAAAATATGTTGCAGTAATTTTTCCTCAATGGGTTGACTTGATCATTCACTTCATAAAAAGGGGACACAAGATGTACAAGAAGATTTGTGTTAAACATTATTAGTTAGCTTATTTTAGGCGATATTGATAGGGGCATTAGCAATGGTTGACAATAGTCATTGCTAAAGGATGATTACAGTAATCAACGATGGATGATGGTGAGCATCAACATGTTAAAAAAATGAGCGCCGTAGTTAGGCGTCAGTGCTAGTCAATAGTAGATGTCATATTGTTGGTCAATGATGAATGTTGGTGTTGGCAATCAATTTTCAGAGTTTTTGATACTTTTAAGTTCGAAAATCTTCTCCACAAAATCCCTTCTCACAATTAATATGCAATATAAGAGTGTATTTACAAATTTATTTAGGTTATTTTAATAAAAAATAAAGACACCTCATTGGATAGTTGGAGTTGATCACCTCTACTATTTTAATGTCTAGTTATAGACATCTTATTGCCTTAATGATATTATAATCAACTATTTAGGGGGGTTTGTCAAATTAGCATAGTTGAGACTTTCATTTTAACTATAAGCTTTTGCATTTGAAAGTCCTTTGATTATTCAAATGGTCTTTTTAAGACTTTGGTTCTGTTTGGGACGGCTTTCTTATTGCTTCTTAAAGCAGTTTTTTAGTATAAAAATTTTATTTTTTGCACTAAAAAGTTGCTTTAAGAAGCAGCAAGAAAGCCATCCCAAACGAAGCCTTTATCTTGGACAACTTTCTTACTAATTTCTAAAGCAGCTTTCTAGCACAAAATTTTCTATTTCAAAAAAAATATTGTACTAAAAAACTATTTTAAACAACAATAAGAAAGCTTTCCTAAACGAAGCCTAAGTTTAGAATTGCACTTATTAGTTCATTTAGACTTAATCAAAATTTTCTTAATATGAATGAGTTCCTCTCCTCAGTATGTTTATTTTCGCTATAGATTTATTAAAGGTAAAGCTTAGAGCCCTTGATGATTATAAAATCAATTTGAGAAATATTAATTTAAATAAAAATTATTTCAGAAATAAAAAAAATATGTTGAAATTATTTTTTTTACTAATTATAGCATTATATTTTATAATTTTAAAGCAAGGATTTTCCTTCGGTAGTATATTTGATTGGTATTGGGTCCGATATCTGCTTAAACGGTTAACGGATACAAGGCAGGCTTCTATCGCCTATCGGTTTCCCAGTGATGATCTGAACCGATCCGCATTAGTAGACCTATCAATATTGGACCCGACCCGAAAACCTGATTCGAACCCGACTCAAAATTTTTCGGGTTTGGGTTGACCCGAACCCGAAGCGGGTCGGGTTCTGATTGACCCAGGAATAACCTGACATGACCCGGAATGCACACAAACCCCTGCCCGAAATGACCCTGCTCGCTTCCATGCTGCCCGCCTGCCCAGACACATCACATCGCGTCGCGTCCCAAGGCCAGATCGCATCGCGTCTCGAGGCAGTTGCGTCCTACGTCAGTCGCCGCCTCGCTGGCGTCCGCAGTAGTTCCGCACCGCGTCCTCGTCCGGCAGTTCCGTGCTGCGTCCAAGTCCGCATCTGGTAGTTCCGCGTCCCCGACGTCCCGAGACCATGCCGCGTCAGTCGGTCGGGTCGGGTTCAGATCCAAAAAATCGACCCATTTGTAAAATTGGGTCGGGTCAACCAGAATCCGAATAGTACCGGATCAGTTTCGGATTCGACCTGAATCCGACCCGTAACCCAAAATTGAAACCCCTAAGGATAGATACAAACGGATCTAAACCCGATAAATTAACTTCTGAAATTAGATTTATTTTCAGTTATCGCCATCCTACCGATTATCTCCGTCGGTCATTTTTCAGCTTCGTAGGTCCTGAGAATCCCACGGCGCTACGATCGCGAGGGCTTTCACCTGGTAAGATGTGCAGGGAGGCCGGGTGCCCTAGTGCAACCCTAGGTTCTGCAAGTAAAAAAGTCCCTAGGATTTTGGCTTTGTTTTCTTCTTATAATTATTTGCCATCTCTGAGCCTTATCCTGTGCTTACGATTTTGTGCTTGTGCAGGCGTTGTTTGATTGAAGGTCATTGATTAGCTTTGGAATTGATTTTATATTTTGTTTGATTGGTATTACTGGGTTTTGATCTCGACGGTGGGTGATTTCGAATTGCATGAACTGTGAGTTTCATGGTTTTATGGATTAGGGTTTTATTATGTGTTGCTTATGATCGTTCGGGCTAGTCTTCTGATTCTGTAAGCATTAGAATTTGCAGGAGATGGGTCGTAGCCGGACAATATATGTTGGCAACCTTCCTGGTGATATTCGCGAGAAAGAGATCGAGGATCTTTTCTACAAGGTAGTCAAATTCGCTCAATTCCTTAGACGATGAGCTCAACATTTTTGGTATTTACTTTATTTTGAAGGCACTTTTAATTCTTCATGAGTATGCTTCCATCGCTTGTTTGATTTCATATTCCGGTTTCATAACTTTTTTTTCTTCATGCATTCTAATGGGTTTAGAGGATGGATACTCTTGAAAATGGTGGAACAAGGCAGGGATTCTATGTAGCTATGAATAATATAATAGTTTTATCATTAAAATCTCCTGCAAGTATGCAATATTTATATTGTCGAAGCTATGTCCCCCCTAAAATTTGGGTAAGATCTTTTGCATCGTCTCACTTGAAATTTTAGTTCTGCCAATGTCTCATGACTGATGAATTTTTTTTTTTCGTAAAATATGCCCCTATTTGTGTCTGATTATATTCTTCTTGTTGGATATTATTATTGGTATTAGTGGGAAGATCTTAGATACTTTGATTGCTCATTCTTTTTATTATGAGAAGGCTGACCCAATTCCACATTCTTGAACATTATGCTTATTTAGTTGTTGGGATAATTATTGACAACCATCTTCAATTGCTTGGTCGATCGTGGTTTGGTCCTCAACATATTAGATGAGCTTATGGTAAGATCCAGTAACCTCTTTTATAAATGTGAAGAAAAATGGTCCTGGGCAAGTACCCCTAAGAAAAATATGACATAGAATATTGAGATTGACTCTTGAAATAACACATTAGTGAGGCATTGGAAGTAATCTCAAAGGACTTATGCTCCTCTTGGAATATCCTTTACAGATGGGAATGATCCTTCATGATACTCCCGCTTACAGTGAATTGATTAATGGAGAGTTGATCCAATTCATTAAGTGCTATAATGGAGCACTACATAAGTGAATGACATCTTGATCTTTCTTATCCCTTCGAAGAAGTTTGAAAAACTTGGTGTAGAACTAGATTAATAGCTAAATGGATTGTAGGATTGCTTGAAAATTGTTTATATACTAAGATAGATCGTATGAATCAATAGCAATCATTTTAAATTCATTTCAGATTGGGCGGTTAAGAATTCAATTAGTGGAGTTCTTTCATCCAAGTTACATTGTTAAGGGATATTAATATACCCCCCCTATAGGAATTTGTATTAAAAAATATTGTGAAATTCAAGCAGATATGTTGGCAAGAAAATAGATTGATTGGAGTATGACAAAGGAGATAGATCCAAATGTTTGGAATTTATTGGTTATGATGATAGCCATCACATGAACTTGTGTTATGTTCTCATAATTAGTTAGATGTTGTAAAATGAGTTATATATGCTCTCACTAATGAGTTTTAAGAACTTTTTTGTGGATGTGTTTTAAGAACTTGAATGTTTCGTGAAATTTAATCGTGGTTAGTTGTCTTAAGGTGAGAATGTTGTGGCTAATCATATAGTGGGTAATGATCTAATAGGGATAGTGGTGCTTCACAATGAAGGTTATGCAGAATAATTTCATTCCATTTTTTGTCTATGGGCACCCATTTAATTTCATTCCATTTTTTGTCTATGCACCTGATTTGGTCTTTAAGATGGTCATGCCAAAAGTAGGCTTATTTCCTATATTTTTTGGGTAAGAAGTGTCTGAGGAAGGTATTTGATGTTGAGATTGGAACAACACTCGACTTCATAACCACCATAGATGGCACTATTATTGTCATGTTTGCTTGCCATGTGTTGAGGGTTAATCATTCAATTAGGTCAAAGTTGGGAGTTATTGATGGTGTTGCAAGAAGCACTCCCATCATAAAACTTATGCATACATTCTATAGACGACACTAAATTGTTGCATGTTGGAAATGGCTATAAGCTTGTTGAGATTCTTGTGAAGAACACTGACTGCAACATGGATTCACCTCTTGTATGCAAAAAGCATGGTGAGCTTGTTGCTATGAGTTGTTTCTTGGGAAGACACCCGAAAGCCTAAGTATGATTGAAATTATAGGCACTAATGCAAGTTGATAGAGTTTCTTCAGTGGATGAAATCAAGAAAAGATGCCCCCTCCTCCTCCCCCCTTTTTTTTAAATCTTACTCCATGTCAGATATCTATAATGTCGGGAGAAAATGTATTTTGATGAAGTGTATGGTGGATGAATGAATAACCTTATTCTTGATATTCATGTTAAACGGAATGCGCTTGATTGACGATGGTTGGTCCTTTGGTGGAAAACTATGCCATGTCTTCTTTACCATATGCGAAACCATTACACCATTGGATAGTGGACAAATATATGAAAACTTTTGACCTCAATAATACTGTCGTTGGAGATCTAAATTTGGTCATTGAATTTGTGTAGATGACCTTCAAATCTATGCTAAAGGGGCTTTTATTTGGATGGTTAGATATATGCAAAAAGTTTGTGCTTTGGTGCTAATTAAATATTGTTTATCTTCGTTAAGCTCAATGTAAAATGTTTCTTGATATGATTTGATGGTATGGGAGTTGGGAGGCCCACTATGCCATTTGACCTTCTTGTGTGGAATTAGTGGTGTTAATTTGGGTTATTGGTTAGGTTTATGTATAACTTGGAAATGATCATATCCAGTTGGTCTAGTCCTATCCATATTTTTTATTGAACAAGTTAAAAATCTCAACTTAAAGTCGACTCAATTAACCTAGAGTTGACACAACATGATATGATGAGCCCTTGAGTCTTGTTTACCTGGACATTGGAGACAATTATCAAATTTGTGCATACTAACTTGAAAAAAATAACAAAAATTGCTATTACATATTATTTATTGATGAAAAAAACACTTGAAAAGAAGTTTGTCAAATGGATTATGTTCATGTTTATAGGTTTAGTAAAACCAAACCCAAATATGATTCAATTAAATTTTTTGAACTATTTAAAGTTGATCGAAGACCCAAATCCAGCACGGGCAACCCAAAATTTTTGTGTAGGGTTAGAGTTGGATTTTTGTGTTTTATAGTGATTTGATAAACTTATTTCTTCAATGAATTGAAGCATTCTCACATTGATGTTGCTTGCTTTTGAAGTGTTGATGTTGATTGATTTTGAAAGCATTATCACATTGATTTTGCCAACTTTTAGATAATTAAATGTAACTTTGAGATTTTGATTAGAAAACGTTTTTGTGCAGTATGGAAACATTATTGAAATTGACTTGAAGATTCCTCCGAGGCCTCCAGGTTATGCTTTCATTGAGGTGAAGTTTTTCTCGTGACCAGTCTCTACTATTAAATTATGATCACATGGTATTCTGGTATTGATTTTCTGCGTTACGACTGTTTGGGAGCCTTAGTTATGAATATTGGCATGAAAAGTCTTTTAAATCCTCGAAAGCACATGTTCCTTTGTAATGCTCAAATCTTACTATCAAACATTGTTGAATTAGTGCATCTCATTATAACTAATTATAACTATTAGTTATATCTCTTTTGACACCATTAACACTAGATATTGAATTTTTTACTAGTTCGAGGATGCTCGTGATGCTGAAGATGCTATCTATGGTCGAGATGGTTATAACTTTGATGGCTTTAGATTACGTGTAGGTAAAATGTTCCTAAATGATATAGTGCTATTGATATTGTAACTTTTTTTAGTGTTGTTCGCCATCTCATAATGTAGGTGGAGATCGCTCATGGCGGGAGAGGTGGCTCTTCTTCATATGACCGTCATAGCAGCTTTAGTAGCGGGGGTGGTAGTGTGTCCCGCCGCTCAGACTATCAAGGTTTGTCCATAATGTACAAACTTTCTCTTCGAATTGCATGCATCGATGGTTTAAAAAATTGTTTTTGAGCAAACATGTTATTTTATCATTGTGTTGTAGTTATTGTGACTGGTTTACCATCTTCTGCATCATGGCAAGACTTGAAGGTGAGTACCGCTTGGCAATGGTGTCATGACTTGATTTTTTTTTTTTTTTTTTTTGAATCTTTTGGGGATTCTAACATTTTGTTGTATATTTGTTTAGGATCACATGCGGAGAGCTGGTGATGTTTTTTTTTCAGAGGTGTTCCGGGAGAGGAGAGGTTAGTGTGTTGGTGGTTTCTTCTTTGAATGATTTACATCTTGTTGCTTTTTATCAAGGTGCATAATTTTGTTTCTACGTTTGATCCATGCATTTGACATCTTTTCATTCATTTGTTTTGATCCCTTTGCTATTCCCTTTTTTTTTTTTGCATTTGACACTTCCTCATCCAAATAGTAAAGGAGAGGAAGCAGAGGGGGTCATATAAAAAATAGAGAGAAAAAAAGGGATGAAGGGATAGTTAATAGGGAAGGTAAAAGAGTCGGCAGAAATGTATCTGGTTGTTGTTTATATTCTGCTATGTTTTAAAAGTTAATATTTGCTTCTATTTTCCTTTGTCATTATCTTTGTATCTTGCGTTCATTTAATGTTGTAACACCCTTGTAAGATTGAAAGACGCATTAAGCGCTAGCAAGATGCATTTTTGTTGTGATAGTAAGGGTCAACAGCATGTGCTAACAATAAAAATGGCGTACAAACTTTGCCACTTTAAGATGGATTCAGGGTTGTATTTTGCAGTGTTTTGTTAGGACGTATATTTTTAATTATTTGAGTTTTGTTTGGGGCTGATTTTTTTATTATTTCTTGTAGCAAGAAAACAACCAACAAAAGTAATGTCTATTTAGTCGAAAAAATTTGTACATTTTTTTCTGCTCCTAAAATTTATTTCACAGAACTTCTTTTGGCAAAAAAAAAAAAAAAGAAATTGCGATTTAAGTAGCTTTAAAATTTTTGGACAAAAACATAAAAGCATGAGATGTCCTAAGCAGAGCCTTGGTACTTTTTACTAGAATTTGAACTATTTTAATGTTAAGTTTGTCAGATCTTCCTTGCATCATTAATTCATACATTATTGATTGGTTACGACTGAGTGATCTTCATTGAATATTCTTTAGCTTTATACTAAGAATGGCATTTTATGTACTGGATTTTGGGGAACCATGTTACCCAGTTGTAATAGTTAGAGAATTTTGTTTGCATAATTGCCTCCTTTAATTTAACATAGTATTCAAAGTGAGATATCAAACAAAATTTTAGAATTATGAGGGATATTATAGTGGTTTGGTTAATAATTATTTTTAATAGAAATAAGAAGATTAAGAGACTACCAAACGATTGGTTAAGCACCATTTTGATATCAATATTTATGAAGGGGATAATTGAGATTATTCTAATTATAAAATAATCTAGCTTATGAGTCATACAATGAAACAATGGGAGAGATTAATAAAGCATACTCAGTTTTGGAGAATCAATATGGCTTAATGTTAGGAAGATCTTCTATAGAAGTGATTTTTACGTTAAGATAATTAAGGGAGAAGTATATAGATCAAATAAAAATCTTCATTTTATTATTATTTTTAATCATAAGAAGGCATATAATCGAGTACCGTGATGATTGATTTGGTTCATGTCAAGGAAGGTTTTTATAAGTTGTATGTTGATGTTATAAAAAATATTCATGATAGAGCATTGACATCATTTTGGCATCAATACTTAAGAACGAAGGCGATGCTCAGGATTGAGTTAATTATAGATGAACCAAACTTCAAGTGAAATGATGGAGAGAATAATGAAACATAGAGTTAACAAGATTATGATAGTTTAAAAAAATCATTTTTTTTTTTTCGTGTTATGAGACCTATCATAGTAGCAATTTTTTTGTTAATTAATGAGAAAGTACATGATTTCAGTACATTAAGATAGAAAGGTGGTTTTCAAAGGAATGCTAACTTTATTAAAAACATTTATGATAGAGCATTGATTAGTATTAGAAGTAGGTGTGAGGTGACTCAAGCGTTTTCAATTATAGTAATTTTCTTCAAGAATTAATATTGAGTGCGATCTTTTCATATTGGTTGTGGGAATAATTACATTGGATTTTTAATGAAAGGTGTTTTGTTGTATTTTTTTTTGGTAAACAATAGAGTTATAATTGGGAATGCGGCTATTTAAATGAGCGAGAAAATAGAATTGTTGAGGAAATATTTATAATACAGAGAATTTAGTATTAGTGGAATAAATAATGAGTATGTATAATATGCAACCAGTGTGGATATGATATGTATAATTATCATTGAATATTATTAGAAGATGAAGTGATACTTATGTGTCAGAAGTTTAATTATTTTATATCATGCAAAAAATGTATATATAAAACTATAGATGAAGATAAATTTTACAAAATTAAATTTGGCTGACAATGTTGTATGGATCTGCATGTTTGTCGATCAATTATTAATATCTAAGTTGAGCGTGGCATAAATGAGAATGTTAAGATTGTTGCGACAAAACAACAACAATAACAAGTCTTTATCCCATTATGTGGGGTCAGCTACTTGAATCCGTTTTCTCCATTGTGTCATGTTAATGGTCAAATTCTCATCTAAATCATATAAATAAAGTTCGTTTCTAATATTTTCTAACCAAGTCAAAGTTAAAATTGTTTGAAAAAGCTATGAGCATAAATTAAGAAATGATTTTATGAGATGAATGATTGAATTCACATCAATTGAAGATAGTCTAATTGAAATTAAATTAAGATTGGTCGCACATTTACAATGAATGATTGCTACAATTCAAAATAATTTGTGAAGAATGGAAGCTCCTCCAACTATATTCTGCTAGAATGAATGGCAAATTGGGATTCAAAAAACTTTCCCCAAATAGTTGGGATTATGTTACTGATGGTTATGAAATTTGCATGAATCTTTTTAACATGCCATAATGTTATTTGGACCAGTTAGCTTTATATACGGGCAGCTTCTTTGCTCTGTCACTATTCCTAATTCTTATTTACCTTTGATTTTCCTGGTGTATTATTTATTTTCCTGCTAGAAGCATAGACATTTTTGGATTTTGATGCTGTTTCTCGTCTTAAATATTTTTCCTTGAATTACTCAAAAATAGGGGTGAAATTCTTACTGATTATTTCGTATTTGTTTATCTGAATATTCGCAGGGACCATTGGAATTGTGGATTATACAAACTATGATGATATGAAATATGCTGTAACTTTTATTTTTTTAATTTGTATCTTTTCTATAGATCTGTATTTACAGCATCATATCTTCAATCATGCATTTTGGTAACCCTTGGGCCTTAATGTGCAGATAAGGAAACTTGATGATTCTGAATTTCGAAATGCATTTTCACGGACTTTTATTAGGGTACATAATTTATAATTCTTCTGTTTGTTTAGTCATATTAGGTTTTTAATTGCATAAAGATAAATAGTAATTAATACATATTTTCATGTGATTTTATTGTAGGTGAGAGAATATGATTCTAGGAGAAGCTATTCTAGGAGCAGGAGCAGGAGCAGGAGCCGGAGCCATAGCCCATCCTATTCCAGGAGTCTCAGTGGTAGTCCAAGGAGGTGCCTAAGCTGAAAATTTAGGGAATTTGTACTTGTATTCTAGCTTGCTTGACTGAAATTTTGATTCTGATATTTTTCATTGTCTAGATCTCGATCAAGATCTGTTTCCCCTCGGGGTCGTTCAGTTTCTACAGAAAGGTCTTTATCTAGGTATGCATTTATCTTAAATTTCTCTTTTTTTGGAACTTCTATTTTTCATTTATTTAATTTTAGTTATTAAGCTTCTTAGTGTAGTAGAGAAGGGTGGGAATTTTACAGGAGGTTTCACTTGCTTTTATGAGTTCTTAGTTATAATGCGTTTTATTTTCACTTATTGCTATGACTGTAAAATACATAAATTTTTTTATTTGTTGTATCTTTCTCGGGGGTGCGTCTCATAGTAAATCTGTTGATGCTAAATATCTTGTTTTTGTTTCTTTTACTTTACTCCCTGCCTTTGTCAGTGTTTTCTAGAACTTTCATTTATGTTCTGGTCTGATGTCACGATTAAGGATTGCATGTTAGAAGTACTTTCATTGTGTCAAGAATTAGGTGATAATTGCTATCAATTTTTGTTGTTCCTAAAGTAAATTCTGCAATGGTTACTCATGGAAGGGCCATCATTGAAAATGGAATAGCGCAGATTAATATTTATTTATTTGATATTAACTTTCTTGGAGGCTGATGATACGATGGGCTTTTATTTTTTTAAGGGTAGATTAAATTTGGATCCTTAAGCTATCAGATCTTGTTCATGATGCAGGACTAAAATGTTTTTTAGATGGATGCGTTTAGAATTGCACGATTTCTTGAATAAGCACGTAAGATTAAAACTGTTAGCAATCAAAACGACAATAGAAAATAAAAGAGGGGTGCCTACGTTTAGGCTAAGCCACATGTCAAGCACTTGAAGAATCAAAACAAGTTAGAAATTTAATAACATGCAAGGTAAATAGCTTTCAACAAAATCCTTATTCTAATAATTAGATTAGAAGCATATAAAGTGTAATTAATCCTACGTTTACTAAGCTTTGGTAATGGCGAAGCGAAATCCTACGTTTACTAAGCTTAGGCAAAGGTGAAGCTCAGCTCCTTGTGAATCATCATTACCTACAAGATGAGAGGATTAGGAAAGTAATTGAAAAGGGGAAGAAGTTCACCGAGGTACAAGTCCGGAAACAAGTCCCTTAATCAACTCCCCGCGGTTGGGACTCCTGGATAGTGAAATTCTTCGGCTGGAGCAGTTGGACTGGTGTTGGGAACGCGCAGGACGGCAGGAAGTCGATTCTGAATATGCAGGACAGCAGTTTGTTGTGTATAAACTTCAGGACAGCAGGTAGAATCTGTCCGGAATGCAGAAATCTGTTCTGGACAGCAACCTATATTGCTCAGAAAAGCCTTGGGCAGCTTCTTTATGATGCTGGAAAACTTTGGACAGCAACCTGTGATCCTCAGGGGTGCAGGACAACAAGATGCTCTTGCTGGAATGAGGGAACAACTAGCAGGAATTTTATGAAAAAGGAAGGCAACATGGGGAGAACTTGGGGAAGGACGGCTAGGGCTGAGAGAGAGTTGGAGATGGCTGGATTTGAGAGTCTAGTGAGTAGTTAGGAAGGGAAAGGGGGAGGCGGCAGCCTTGCTTGTGATTGGATGGGGAATTTATGATCCCTTTCCAAACTTAGGATGTTAACTAAGGAAAGGGCTTATAGGCAAGTATCTAATTAATTGATTGAATTAATTAGATAGGAAGAGGGGGGGGGGGGGGGGGGGGGGGGGGGGGGGGGGGGGGGGGGAGACCGGCCATGCATGGGAGAAAATTGATTGGGCTTTAAATGTCTTTCCAAACATATGATATTTAATTAAGGGAAGAGAATTAGAAGGAATCTCCAATTAAATTCAGATTTAAAGAGATTTGGAAAGTGTCCAAATTTAAGAGTAGGGTATTAGGGAAGAAATAATTAAATCCTTCTTAATTGGAAATTCAAAAGGATTTAATTAAGAAACTTTCCCAAAAATAGGTTTCCTAAATTAGGAAAAATTTTCAAATTCAAATAGTTTTGAATTTTGAAATTAGACCTTCCTAAATTAAGAGCAGATGCTTATAGAAAGTAGTCAAGAGGGAGTAGAATTTGTGGAGAGGAGGTGAGGGTAACATAGGGCCGGCGGCTTCATGGAGCTAGGAGGGATTAGGGGATGGGATTTGGGGTTTCTTAATTTGGATTTAGGAAATATGAGAGGTTTAATTAAATCTCATTCAAATTTAAAATTCAAACGGACTCAACATTGAAAATTTTCCTAAAATAGATTTTATAATTTTAGTAAAGATTTTAAATTTCAAATTGGGTGAATTTGAATTCAAAATCCAACCAAAATTATGGCAATCTTGATTAGGAAATAAACCCAAAGGGGTAAGGCTAGAGGGTGGCCGACAGCTTTGCTTGGGTTGGGGCAAAGGGGAAGGCCGGCGGTTTGGGGTGAAGTGGCTTGGGGAAATTTGTGGGTGGGATGATGGTTCGGGTGGGGTGGTGGTTGGACCTAGCCGTCAGATGGGACAAGCTAGGATGGCCAGCCGCTAGACAAGGGAGGAAGGTAGTAAAGCCGAAGGTGGGTGTGGGAGGAGGAAGAGAAAGAGAAAGAAATAAAACCACGAACCCGACCGTCTCCAAGGTTGGTGGATGATCCGAGTTCTTCCCTCTCCTAGGGATCCTTCTCCATGACTCTCAAGCTCTCATGAGAATTCACACAAGAAAACAATATTTGATAAATCATTCATTCATTCCTTTAGAAGAGCAACATGAGGACTATAAATAGCCTCTTACAAAAAGACTCAAAATAAGAAAGACGGCAATGCCCTCAGGGCTTACATACGACCTCTCTTTAAGTAAGGGGTAAAAACGGGAAAACAATTACAACATAATAATAAAAGATAAATAACAAAATAAAACAAATACATGAAATACTCAAAGTTCATCGACGCAATCGTGGACGTAAATCGACTGCCGCGCCTTTGATTCATGCTCTGATGTCCCCATCAGTTCATCTCAAGTTTCATGGTCTAGAATCATTTCGCGTAGGCCTCATTTGATTTGGAGGTTAACTTGAGTAGGGAGTATTGTGGCTTTTAAATGATGCTTAAATCATTACAATAGAGGATCAGTCATAGCTAATCAATGCGCTCTATAGGTTCATATCAATATAAGGCAAACAAAATGTATGTGTTCCAAAGATTTCCCTTGCAGGAATATAACTCCAAGCATGATTTATTTTAATTATATGGGTCGAGACTGGAGATTTTCTCAAGGAGTAAACTCCTAAGATTAATTATGCTCCGATTATATTCGAGAGTGCTGTCGATTAAGGAGCTTTTCTTGTGTTTATACCTTTTTTTTTTCTTGTATTTATGCTATGTAGAGTTGTTGTGGATCTGGTTAGGTCAAAATTAGAATGGATCCTGTGAGGCTATATGGGATATGAAGCTCGTAAAATTCTTCCAAAAGGAATCCTACATGCAAAATTATAAACTTGCAAATATTTTTGTATGTATAACCTAAGAATTATGAAGTTGCATAAATATTTTAATTAGATTATTTTTATATGTTTAATTCTTATCCATTTTCCCATTTCTCATTTTAATTTAGCCACATGGCGATCAATTAGGTTTGTGCATGCCTTCGTATAAGCTACTAACTGATCTTATTGGCATGATGATTTTGCCCTTACGGCTGACACTTCGGCAACCTTCGACAGTCATTGGCATTATATCACTTGCAGCCTCGCATCTTTCTCTTTCATTCATTGTTATTGACTTACCTCCAATCAACATCAATTTAAGGGACTTTGTTGATTGCCACATTGATTCCAGCTGGGCTCCTTTGTCTGTTTCAATGAGGTTTATAACAAGCCTTAAAGGAATTATATACATTGACATGTACACTTGGGGAATTACTATGATTCTTCTGGCAAATCGGATATGTCCTTCCTCAGCCCTTCTTCATGTTCACTCTCTTGTTTCAAAGCTTCCCAATCTAGGGTCATGGGTACTTACAAAGCTGCTAAGGCTTTTCGCCTTTTTGGGATAAGGTGTCTGCTGCCTTGTTTTATAAGCCTGATCGGTACTATATCTCAAAGTTACATCAAAGCAACTTGGATAACCTCCGCGAATGCTCCTCTGTGACCATTCGTTGTTCCAAAAAATACTTCAGGCTCCTTTGATATGTCCTGACTAGGAAATATCTCCCCAACAAATAGGGTTGCCATTTTTAAATAGCCAAGACAATAGCCATCAGCTCTCTGTTGTGCACAGACTTGAGTCTCTCCCTGGTTGTGAGCACCTGACTGAAATAGGCGATAGGTCGCCGATCTTGCTTGAGCACTGCCCCTAGTCTATATCCTGACACATCTATCTCCACCACAAACGGCCCGCTAAAGTTAGGAAATGCTAACACTGGTACAATGGTCATTTCCTTCTTCAACTACTCGAAAGCATGAGTAGCTGCCTCCACCCATTTAAAACTTTCCTTCTTTAGTTGCTCAGTCAAAGGCCATGCTATCATGTCATACCCTTGCACAAACTTTCAATTTGTATCCAGTGAGGCCTAAGAACCCTCTCAGCTCTCTCGGGTTCTTAGGTAAATGCCAATCAAACATAGCCTCAATCTTGGACTTGTCTAACACAGGCTCCTTGTTCATGGCCTAGTAATCTATGCAAAACATTCAACTTTTGTTCTTTTTGCTGACTAGTAGCATGAGGCTAGAAAAAGGATTACACTAGGCCTAATAATTCCTGCCTCAAGCATCTCTCTGATGAGCTTCTCAATCTCATCCTTCTGAATCTGTGGGTACCGGTAGATCTGACACTAATAGGCGACGCTCTCTCCTTCAAGGTAATGGAGTGCTCGTGCTCCCGGGGTGGTGGTAACCCCTTAGGCTGCTAAAATACCTCAGAAAATTGCTACAGAAGTTGTTGTACACAATTAGGGACCTCCATCGGCTCTGAGACTCAGAACTCCTCTAAGTTTGGCAGCTCCACCAAGTAGCCAACCTTGCTTCCTGTATTGCCTTGACCATTGTTTTGAGTGAAATCATTATTTTGCACAGATTAGCATCTCCCCACAGTGCCACCTTTTCCCCTCTACTTGAATTTCCATAGTTAGAGATTCCAATACATCTTC